GCCGTTTCTAGACGTTTATGCTAATGGAAATAAAAATAATGTAATGTTTGTAACCTCTGCATGGTAAATTATTACAAGGTGTGTTTTAAAGTGCTGTCTTCCTAAGGTGATCATTCTGTTAATGTAGCTCTTTCCAGTACAATTTTTTTCTACTGGACAAAGAGTCTTTCTTTAGAGTCATATCTTTTTCATAATAATAGATGTATATCCAGGCTATACAAATCATTTTCTTATTTCATAAAATTTCTTTATTGTGTTTCATGTTATTAGTTGCTGTTTAGTATAGGGATAAGGTTCATCAAAAAGTGATATTGCCTTTGATTGTTACTTTTTGTGATCCGGTTTAATATTGATAACATTATTACTAGTGTTTTTGCATTAAAATTATTTCATATGTATGTAACTTTTACCATTGTTATACAAGGTAACAGGTCTTAGTATAAACTGTGAATACAGTTATGGGGTGTGTTTCTCTGTAACTTTAGTATATGATGACTACAGTGTGCATGCTTAGCTGTTTCCTTGCTTTATTTCTTAACATAGTAGTTTATTTGGGGACGTGAGTGTTACACTGTAAGAGAAGAAGACAGGGAAGATCATATGATATTTATGATAGGAAGAAGTGGCCAGCCTAGTTTATGGCTGCATTTAAAAGCAGACAAGGGAATAACTGATTTTTCAATGCCATTTATCCATAACTATTTATTTATTTAAGGTTGAAGGCTTCAGTATCAGTGGAATTGTACGGAAATCAGCTGGCAAGGACCCTGTGGTTGGAGCAAAGGTTGTTTTGGACAAAACTCGTTCTGCTACCACAGACACAGAGGGACGTTACACCTTCCAGAATGTACAGTCTGGGAAACACAAGATAAGGGTTACAACAGGTAAGATAATTTAAAAGGATGTACCTGAATGTTGCCAATCAATTCACATTTTGCATTAGAAAAACCCTGCTCAAAAATGGATAATCATACTTTTAGCATTTGTATGGAAGTATGAGTATACTCCTATACTTCTATAATTCTTACAGTACCTCTGTAAATAATCTTACAAAAAAATGTAATCAAACTATGGATGCTATATGTACCCTAAGGTATCAGACCTGTATTCTGCTTATGAGCCTATAAAATGTCTTTTTTTGCTAGTAACTAGTACTGGTAACTATGTCAGGATGGATTCAAGTTGTTCACATACTGCTAGGTGATTGCTGATAACAGTAACAGAGAATCATTTATCTTGTGCTGATGGGTAGACATAGACTTTAATTCCTCATCATATAGATGTTGCTCTGCATTTATAACTGTAAATGTTTTGTATAACACCAGGCATTGAACAGCAGTAAGTGTGACTGATAGTAATGCTTTATGACTAAAAATGGTAATAAGATATGATTTATTTACAGACAAATTTGAGTTTGATGAAACAGTAGTGTCAGTCAGTCCACAGCGACCAACTGTAGCAGATATCTTAGCAACAAGATATCAAGTCTGCTTCTTTGTCAATGTAGAGAAAAGTGCAACTCATTCTGGACCTTGGTAAGGATATATGTACTTAACTTATTATGCAAATTTAATGTCTTCTGACATATAAAGTAGCATTTTGATATATTCTTTGACAATTTCTTAGTAATTTTTTTCGTTTTGTCTTGTATTCTAGGACCATAGAGACTGTCAATGCCAATGATCAAAATATTAGGAAGCAATTACAAACTGACACAGATGGAAATGGTTGCATTTATCTGCCAGCCAGCATGTACACAGCTTCTATTAAATTATCTTCTGCTGCTGATGAAGCCGGCATGAGGTAAGTGTGGTTTAGAAATATTGCAATATTACTAAAATTACTGCCATTGACAGAAATATGATTTAAGGGGAGTTCCTCCATGTGTTATGACAAAAAGGTAGACCATAAGCAGTGCTTGGAATTATGTGATAGTGATGAAGCGTGTATTTGAATTTGCTCTTACGTAAGGGATGATACAGTGGGAAATCAACACTACACAGTTTGTCATGATCTAAAAACACTCAATTGGCTGAATTTGTCTTTCTAGATTTTTCCGTTGATGCTAACTAAATTAATTTTCCTTTACAGGTTTGGCCCTGTTGAACATGTCTTCACTGTAACGTCAGAGCCAGTGAGTGATTTGGTCTTTTCACAGTTCCTTGGTGAAGTGACTGGAAAAGTGACCTGCCTAGAAAAGTGTCCAGATCTGACATTGGTACTTAGACCATCCCGAGCAAGCTCTGGAGCACCACAGACCACTATAGCTTCAGATGGAAAGTTTGTTTTTAAGGATATTGTCCCTGGCTCATACCAGTTAAGCATTCAGAAGGATGAATGGTGCTGGAAGCATAAGGTTGTACCAGTTACGATCAATACCCAGAATGTCGAAGTGTCACTTGAACAAATTGGGTATCAGCTGACTGTTGCCTCCTCTCATGAAACAACACTAAGTTACAGCACCAGTAATGGGGCAACAGGAACTGTGGTTGCTCAGAAGGGCAACACAGTAGTGTGTGTGTCAGCATCAGGTGTTTACACATTCACACCTGTTGGATGTCATAAATTTGGATCATCTCAAATTCAGTGGGACACTGCTGCTCCAAAACTGATCTCATTATCAGCTACTAAGCATCAGCTGACTGGAGCAATTAGGGCAAGCGAGGTTGCTTCTTTCACTGTTGGGGTTAAATCTGGAGGTCAGGTTAGTATTCTTGGTCCTCTAAACCCATCACCAGAAGATCCCAATTTGTTTGTGTTTGAACACTGGGTGCAAGAAGGTGAGACCATTGTGCTAACACCAGGCTCACCAACCAATTTGTATCAGTATGAACCATCTTCTCACACAGTTACAATGCCAGAGGATTGCGTTCTGGATGCAGTAACTTTCAAGGCTGAACGTGCACTCTTTATCTACGGCCGTGTTACTCCTCCTTTGGGTGGTGTGACTATAAATGTAGAAGGGAATGGTGAAATTCACACATATACTACGGATGCCGATGGAAAATACACAGCTGGTCCACTGGATAATTCAGTTCAGTATAGTGTGTCTGCTGAAAAGAAGGGATATGTCATGAATGCCTTGAAAGAAAAAGGTCATTTTGAAGCTTACAAACTGGCTGAGGTTATTGTTGAAGTAAAAGACGAAAATGGAACTCCTCTGCCCGGTGTGTTGATTTCCATGTCTGGTGGGAAGAGTTATCGTCAGAACAGCTTGACTGAGAATGACGGCACAATTGCCTTCCTTTCTCTGACTCCAGGTGACTACTTCCTTAGACCCATGATGAAAGAATACAACTTTGATCCCCCATCTAAAATGGTAACTGTAGATGAGGGAGCAACCATCATGGTTGGCATCAGGTAAGATGTTTTGAAAAGTGTGTTTGTATTTTTGCAGATTTTCATGTTTTCTAGTGATGGTTTTATTCTCATGAATTGAATGAATCCAATTGCCTTGATATAGAAATACATTGAAGTTTTGGTACCACCTGATTAATCAATATTCAAGTTCAGATTTTATTTAGATATAATTTGAATATTGCTGTGTACTTCCCTATAATATTACCACATGTAATAATAACTCAAAACTCTTTGCAGCGGTATTCGGATCGCTTATAGCATATACGGTCAGACTGCTTCACTGAGTGGAGAGCCAGAGACAGATGTAGTGGTTGAGGCAGTTGGCCAGGGAAGTGAATGCGAGCAATATCAAGAGGAAGCTGTGTCTGACAATCAGGGAGCCTTTAGGATTAGAGGATTACTTCCCAAGGTATGAAGTTCAAAATTATTCAGAGATATAATAGAAGACCTGAAAATATTAGTTGTGGATATTCCATTCAATATTGTTAAATTGTATTTGTTTTTCAAGTTACAGTTAATATTGAATTGCTTTCTTTTTCAGTGTCATTATGATTTGAGGCTGAAAGTAGGTAGTGGAATAAATCAACATGTCCAGAGGACCTTACCAGCATCGCGTACAGTCCATACTGACAATGATGACATTCGTGACTTGAAGCTTATTGTCCTAAGGCCATTCACTCAAATGGATGTAGCTGCAAAAGTCAACACAGATCCTCAACACCTTTCATCTCTTGTGGCAAGACTTTACCGTGAAGACCTTCCAGATTCTCCCATTCACACTGTTAAGCTGGGTCTTCATCCATTCTTCATGCTTCCACCAATGACAGCTGATAAGCGTACTTATTTCTTACGTTTGGACTCCAATCTTCCAACTTCACAGTATGACTATTCATCACCAGAAATTACTTTTGTTGCTGATGCAGCCTTCAAGCACCTGAATCTCAGTTTCCAGCCAACTTTGAGAAGTGTGGATGCTGAATTAAACCAGGGAACTGTTCTAGGATTTGTGATTGCGATATTAGTTGTTGCTGCAGCATTTAATTACAATAGGTTAGGTCCCTTTATGGAAAAGGCATCAGATATATTAAGAAGTTTTGCAGCGCCTAGATCATCTCAGAAATTCTCTAGTTCATCATCAGATATTCCAATCATTGAAGCTGTTAGGAAGAAGGTGAAGTCTAGAAAAATTTAGAGCTGTGATATGTATGCAAGTCAAGCCATAGGATGTTTGAATGAAAAATACACTAAAAGACTGTGGGGTAATGTATTACGTGTTAAAATCGTAAGGTATGTTTGATAAGATTTGATATTGATCCTTGTTATACAGTATGATGTGTGTGTGTGTTTGTGTGTGTGTCCTTTCCAAAAGATTTAGAATTTTAAATGGTTACAATGATCTGGTCTTTATTTCCATTTTGATGTTACATTGTACCATTCCATCTTTGAAATGTGTCTTTTCCAAAAAAGTTTTATTGTTATATATTTGTTCAAAAGGAATTAATAGAGAAGCAAGATGCACAAGATATGAAAGAAAGCTAAACTTCAGTTGCACAAGGCTGTATATTTCTGTAATGACTTTTCTCCATTTTTGTAAGTATTTGTTGTAATATTGTTTTACTTTTTGGAAAAAAAAAGATGTATACCTTTTAGCATTTCATTAACATCATACATATGTTGTACAGGTATAAGTGCAGATTGATTCAAATCTTGACACATGAAAGATCACAGCCATGTTAGCTGCTGAAATGCATACTGAAATATTTACTTGACATTTTCAAATATATTTGAATACAGTTGATCTACCAATTATATTTTAACTGCCATCAGTTTATTAAAAGAAAAACAAAGGTATAGTCAGCAGTGATTAACCATCTGGAAACCACATCTGACAAGTCCTAAATTACGTAAATAAAATAGTGCCAAACAAATTAATGCACTTTTAATAGATCTTATGTATTCCTCTACATCCAAGTAATAGAGGTTATTGATTATATATGAACTGGCACTATGAACAATACAAATCTTGAACATAGTATATATATACTTAGTCACTTTGAAGTTGTTTACACATTCAAATATCACAGAGTAATTGAGAATGGAAACAATGGGCAGAAATCAATAATAATGATGATGAATTGCACTGGTACACTGAATATGTGACAGAAAAGATTTCAAAACAGACTTCTCTGTTCTCTACACCCATGGTGTCCATCCTTCATACAACGTAGCCAAGTTGTCTAAATTTGTAGCTTCCCTGATGGTGTAGTCCACCTAGAAAAGAAGTAAAATGATATCATTGAAAGCTTCTTAATTTAAATGCTAATGTTAATATTCAATAACTATAATTTTCCTGATGGAGACACTTAAATTTTTGTTCTAATGTTAATGAGTTAAAAATGGCACAAAACTCAATAAAAACAACTTGTGAAATTAAACCTTCTATTACCTGTTCACATAATATAATAATGAATAGCAATAAAGTTCCATTTGTCTTTGCAATAATAAGAACACTGTTTCTATTTACAGTAGACAGACTATATCCCTGTAATCACTAAATCTGAAGGATATCCCTGTAATCACTAAATCTGAAGGATCTGATGGGCAATAAAAACCTACAAAAACAAATTGAGTTACCTGTTCTGCCACTGATGCTCTCCTAGAGGGCTCGAGGTCCCTTCCTTCTAGTTTAACTTTTACTCGGCGCCAAACATTAAGAGCATAGGCGTTGTGCTCTTGGACAACTGTAAAGATACAGGAATTTAGTGTATAGTGGTATGATTGATACTGCGTCCTGAGTCTATAGTAATGTACTATGTAAATGTAAATTCTCAAAGGTTGTTGCATTCTGTGGTTGATTTGTAGAGTAACATGGTCACAGCAACTCTTATAATTGGACACTTTATTTCCCCTGTGAATATTCTATAGCCAATTAACCCAATTTGCATGGGCTTTTTCGGTGTCCGCTCGGGCTCCCAAAATGGGGTTCATCTGTATGGGCCAGGCAAGTGCTCTGGGGTTTTCTCTCGTGCTCACCTCAGCGACTTGCTTCCTAGCCGCTCGCTGAAACTTGACGAGCATGATTGCTTTGACATTATTTTTTAAAATTTATGAGTTTTTACATTTTCAAATACTCATTGTTGCCAACCTCTTGACTTGGCCAAGATAATAGCCAATTGGAATAATATTGAATACTCCATACTAGCCGATCATAACATGTTTTTCACCATGAGTAGAAAAATCAGTATTGTACAGGAACATAAAAATTAGGAATCTTTCATTTTTTTTCAAGTTCTTCAAATGAACTTTACGAGTGAAATACATTTCTTATATAGTAAATGCCACATACATGAAGAAATCAACAAGTAACAAAAACATAAGTTTGTAATATGATGTTTATTTGCACTCTGAAGTACCTGTGCTTGGTAGATTTCGAAGCATTCATAAACCCATAGCACCACCTCACATTATTTGAAAAGGGAAAAAATCTATGCCCACATCGATCAAATACCCTGAGGCTAAGTTCGTGTGCACATACGAACAGAGGGAGAGAGAGAGAGAGAGAGAGAGAGAGAGAGAGAGAGCAAAAGATGAGAGAGTAGTGAAAAAAGTTTATGAAAAATTTATGATATAGCATATATACAACATCTGCCGTATTTGTGGGTTTTCAGTGTGTATCCTCAATTTGTTCCCATAAATGATTCCACCTGTGAACTGAGCCCAGGCTGCCATGGCATCTGCAGGGTTGCCACCCACGGGTTAGGCCAGCTCCATCATGGATTAAGGGTTAACATGCAGTACTATCCAAACTATAGTGAAAATGCTACACAATGTAGGACAGAATCACTTTCCTTAATGTATTGGCATAACTGATCCAAGTTCAAACTCTCGTAAACAAAAACCCAGTTAAAAGGATTGCATGAATATGTGAATGAGTAAGAAGAGTATAAATAATACTAATGCAAGACTTACCTTTTCCTGTAAGTGGATGTCTCTTGACCTTCATCCTGGAATCAGGAGTGAAAGTTTTGGAAGGCGACATGACAACACTTGACTGCCGCAGTAATGGGGGCCTTCGAGGTTCTCCATTTGTCTCTTTAAGAGATTCTGCTTCTTCCTGTGCTTCCTCTACTACACACTCATTGCCGAATTCTACCAATATGTCATATATAGTGCCTGGGAAATAGGTGAAAACTGTCAAAAATAATTCTAATTCAATAGATTGTAAAAAATTAAAAAATTAAATAAAAAAAAAAAAAAAAAAAAAAAAAAAAAAAAAAAAAAAAATATATTATATATATATATATATATATATATATAATATATATATATATATATATATATATATATATATATATAAACATATTTTGATCACCTTTATTAATATCTTCATATTTCATCCCCTCATTTTTCTAACAACTGATTAAATTACTTCGGAAAAAAAAAGAAAAAAAAAATGTTCCTGAAAAACTGGGAGGACATATGAAAGAAAGAAAAAAAAAAAAAAAAAAAAAAAAAAAAAAAAAAAAAAAAAAAAAAAAAGAAAAATCAGCTTCCAGAGTACAAATGTCTAAACTTATACTTCACCTGTTTGCATAGTTACTTCCTGCAGTTTCTGTAAATATGCCTTTGCCTTCTCTGGAGACAATGGATCATGTAACATTTGTCTTATGAGCCCAGAGATGGTCTCAGAATAAGTGCGGTATAGTGCCAGGTATTCGTCAACGCCAGCTAGTCCTCCCTCATCCTCAAACTGTAATTTTTAAAGTTTAGAGAATTATGAAGCCTAATGTAAAATCTGTTAACACTTTATTTGATCTGAACAGCTGAAACAATTTAATCCATGATATATAAATCTCCTGCATTATCAAGTAACTCTCACATAAAGTTACATAATGATAAAACACTACCGCATTTTGAACAACTAATGACTTGAGTGATCTTGAGTCTCACATAAAATCTGTTAACACTTTATTTGATCTGAACAGCTGAAACAATTTAATCCATGATATATAAATCTCCTGCATTATCAAGTAACTCTCACATAAAGTTACATAATGATAAAAAACTTGAGTCTTCTATTTAGGTTAATGTCATTTCCACACAAACAAACTAGCAACCGTAAACATATACATATCCTTTACCTTTGCCATGCTCTTCAGTAATGCCCTGATGTCAGACATGAATTTATGATGTGTAGTAAGGTGGGTCCTCAAGGTAACGACATTCAAACGAACATTTTCAGCAGCCTTCCTTAGCTCCCGGCTTTGGTCACTCACTAGCTTTGTGAGGAGTTCAATGTGGTCTGTGGGAGATATGAGGAGGAATGTTGTATCATTTATTAATGATTATATTCAAGAGAGATAGAGAATAAGAGTGTAGGTAAAGAGACATCCACTTACAATAAAAGGTAAGTAGGAATAAATGAAAAAAACATTTGGATGAGAGTGAGATATAAAAATAACAGAATCTTTGCAAGTTTGTGAAAAGACTGATTGACAGAGAGCAAAACACATTTAGCAAGACAGCAAGATGGACATACAACCACATGCAAGAAAGAGACACAGAGAAAAACGAAGAGAGAGATACAAGAAACATTGTACCTGAGACTGCAACTGATGCATTCTGGATCCACTGTGTGTTAACATCAGCTGGCAGATGGCAAAGCGTGACCAGCATTTCCTCTTGTGGACTAACAGTAGAGTGATACCGCTCTAAGAGCATACAGCTCTCTTGGCAAGTATTCAGTACCTGTTAGTTATACAAAGTTACACTTCCAGAAAAAATAATAAAGAAAAATTTCACATTAACCATTTCAAAACCAAATACCAGAATAACTTCAATGCCAATGTAATAGTAGTGGCATATTACATCTTTTTCTTCTATTTCTAAGAATGCAGTAATTAAATATTACATTATTGTTGAACAGTTCCATGTAAATTTCATTTTCCTTGAATGTGAATTCAGTAAATTGACAACACTTACTGAAGTGAAATTTGCATCCCATGTGATGGCATCCACTGTATGAGTTCGAAGAGCCTCATAATGCAGCACAGCATTACAGAGAGATGCAACCTCCTTACTCTGATGTACAAGTTGACTGACACCTTCAAGGGCTACTTCTACACCATTACTGAATTCCTCTAATGCCTAGGAAGTAAGGAAATGAGTAAATATTAACAAGGGTATGTGCACAAACTATCTAATGCCACAAAATCATATTTTTTAAAATTTGAGATAAAAAGCAATGCTAGTACAAAGTTTGAAGACCACAGAAATAACTAATACCTGAGCTATGGTTGGGTTAGAGCCAGCTGCCCACTTGAGACGCTGTTCAACATTTCCAGTCAAGTTGGTGTACTTTTCACGCAATTCTGACACATTCTGGTGCAGAGCCAAAAGCGTGCTTACATTTGTTCTCAATTCTCCTAGTAATGCACCTCGACCTAAAGATAAAAATATTATCTGATTATCTACAGACATGCAAAGTAAATAGTAGTTTTAAAGGAAAGATGACAAAGAGAATATGAATTGGAAAATTATAAGTCGAAAGACTAAAACATCACGATTCAAGTAATTTGGTACATTACCTGGCTGGACTGATGGTGCTACCACTCGCTGCTTTAGGTAATCCTCATTATACCACTGATGTCCTAGATGTTGAGCTGTCACACGCTGATGTGTTGTCCGCAGCCCTTCTGCTTCACCTTCCCAGTGCCTGAAGTCCATATATAAAAAATGAGACTCTGTATATGGCCCTCATAAATAGGTAAATAGTACACAAGTGCTATGACTAAGGGCTTTTTAAGCAGGGAAATTTCTTGTCTAAAATCTGAAGACTATTTCTTACAATCTCAAGAATTTTTCTTGCTTTCTCAAGATGGCTAGACTTTTGCTTGCTAAGTCATGTGGTGTACTGTCACCATGGCAACACTGTCGCAAGTGCACTGTACTGGTTACAAGCCTTCGAATGTGGGTGTTGGCCACGAACTGTGGTTGAGATTTTATCCAAGAAATTATTTTTTACAGTTTCTGTTTCTCTAATTTCCATAACATAATATATAAAGAAATTTAAATCGACTGGAAATGAAAGGAGATACTGGAGATTGTGGGAATAATTTTTTTTTCTTATAAATCATAAATCATTTTAAGATGAACAATCTATCTCTTACTTTTAAATTCCTTCTCTCTCTAAATTGAGAACACACCTACTATTCAATGAAATAGAGAATATTTCAAATAGAAATGTCTGAAAATTCTAATAACAAATTTTTGTTGATTTTGTGTTCAGTGACTATTATTTTCCAACTTCATAAACTTGTATATAAGGAAATGGGTAGGCCTTTATCTTAATTCAGTGATGTTCATTTTTGATAGTGTCAGAATGTAAGGGTTGCCAATCAGAAGCGTGTGTCACTGTTTTAGAGGCACTGTATCTGCATAAAGGAGAAAATATTATGCTTCATAAAGATGTTAGGGTAGATTTATTTATTTAAGAAGTTTATTGTAGAAGATACTTGAGATTAAGCATAGAATTTTTCAGGCTTGACATTTAATAGAACCATTTGTGCCCATTAGCAACACTGCTCTAACTCTAGAAGTCGTTTAGAGCAGCGAACAGTGCAGTTCTTAGCCTTGGAGCAAGAATTCTTGACCAAGCGGATCCCTGCTTAAAATGCCTCGTCTTCCATAAAGATATACTTTTATAATCACAAAAAAATATAATTGATTATGTAATGAATCTAAACTCATAGAGCATAAAAGGGTTAACAGAATAAAAAACAACAACTCTACTTCATAACTTCATGAAAGCAATGAATAACATACAACATTTGGACATACCTTAGGAGTAATTTCTTGCGGACTGCATTAAGATGGAGAGTGAGAGCTGTTGCAGCTGAGGAGGGCAGTGCTGGGTCCAGACTGTGATGAGTCAAGCAGCATTCCAGTGCTTCTTGGACTATGTTATCTAGATTCACCCTGCCTTCTGTGCCTACATCCCTTGCTTCTATATAACCTGTAAAAGCATAAGTGATTTTATTTTCACATAATACTCAAAAAACTTTAAGACCTATCTGTAACTACACTATTTTTCAGTTCACTTGCACTTCTTTTTTGGCTGCCAAATCTGAAAGATTTTCCTCCTTAGTTCTCCTTTCACGACTGGTATACTTTTTCTGACATTATTGCAATGCTCTTTAACCCCTCAGTTATGGGTATAGCTATGGCCGTCATGACGTAACAGCCTATGACATGTATATGCATCATGACTCGCATTGGGTGGGCCAGCTGTACACAGCTTAGGCCTAGCCACAAAGTTTGGACTTGTGCAATATTATATCACATATAAATCGAGCCCTGTCACCATAGGGTTAAATCTTCAGACTTGTAGCAGCAACAAAATTAAGCAATTACATGATAAACACTAATTTCCTGCTTTCTGGTAATAAGGTTTTAATAAAAGCTGGTGCTGCTTAAGATCAGTATAAATATAAAGGAACCCTGGTTGAACGACTTTCAAACCTATTCACTAGGAGTAAAATTCCTGCTAATGTTTGGTCAGGCTGGGGTGCACTAATCTGCATCACTCTCGGCTCGGGTATTTATTTAAGCTTATGAATATTCATGATTCTGGCCACCCAGTATGGTGCGTTAAATCTCAAATAAGAGATAAAAGCAAACAAAATATGTATTCATATCAAATAAGTACTATATAATAATAATAATAATAATATTGAAAATAATAATAAGACCACCATAACCACTAGAAATACTTAAAGTCAATGTCTGTGTAAAAAACATCCTTCCCAAGGGACTGGGTACAACCTATAGCTTTTCCTGAGGACCCACTCACCAGATACATTGATACCAAGTTTCTGACAGTGCAGCAGAAGTAGGTGTGTTGCCAAATACGAAGGCAGGCCAAGCAGCAAAAGAGATACACAATCACTTGCATACCGACGAACAATTCTTTGGAGCCTCTCCTCGTCACATAAACTGTTGCTGTTCCTGTTACCTGTATGATATAATACTGGCTAACTGGCTGGTTAAAATTCACTAAGCTCACCGTAAAACTGTTCTTTATATGGCAATTTATGGCAGATACAATGTCAAAGATAAAAACAACAATTCTAACCAATGGGATCATCTCTTCTGAACACTAGGGAGGACTGGTATGCAGTGGTAAAGAAGTCAACAATAGTCTGGACTTTCTTGACTCTCAGTAAAGATCGAAGAACCTGGCGTAAACTTGGGTCATGGAGTGGGGCCTGGGTTACAAAAAATGGTAAAAAGAATTAGATGTTACTGATGAAATTTTTTCTTTTATCAAAAACAGAAACAGCACAATGGCCTCACTCCCTTAAATTACATATGATATGCCTCTTTCTCATGCTATCCTTACCATTATCTCAGCAGCCTCCCTCGCTGTGTCTACTCTTGGCCAAGGCTGTGGCAGTGGGGCACTGCTAAGGGCATCCATGAGTTGGTCCAACTGGGTCTCAACTGCCTCAAAGAGCAAGTGGAAGCCCATGAGAAGCATCTGTCCCTGACTCATGTCACTGCTTCCATCAGAGGTGATTCTGTCTATCACATTCATTAGCTGACTATGAAGGCTTGTTGCATCCTGGAGAGCTTCTTCATGACGAGGCTAGAAAAGGTATGCAGCTTAGTACAACTCTATAAAACCAGTAGATCACTTTATCAAACACATATAATACTTTTAAGATGTCTTACAACAGATATAATATCAATGAATGTAAACAATTGCAGAACAAAATGTTTCTAGGTACATTTCTCACCCTCTAAAACAAAACACTATAGACATACTGGCATCATGAGGATCTTCAGCCTTAGGTGTGTGGTGAGGTGCTGGCAGAGTGCAGATGGTGGGGTGGGGGAACTGGCTACAACTGCCTGGAGTTCTGTGGCTAGGCTGATCACTGAAGGTTCTCCACGCCAGAACAGTCTGACACCCTCCACAATGATGATTCCACTCGTGTTCAACACCAGTTCCTGGAAATCATCAGGGTTCAATAGTTTTAGTTGAAAATGTAAACACACATTATCTAAAAACTCCATCTTTACCCCCCCAAAAAAAAAGAAAGAAAGAAAGAAAGAAAAAAAAAACAATTAAGGAATGCTCACAGTAAAACAAACTGGTCAGTAAAGCTAATGAATGGAACACTATATCAAATACAGCCCAACTCTAAAAAGAATCTGAAGCCAAATATCTAAAAAAACAACAATAACTAAATACTTACTTTTGTATTTTGATAAGCTTTTGTTTCATCAATATTTTCTATGGTGTCAGAAAATAGTTTAGGTTGAGATGATTACTGATAATGACATAGTAGAGGCAAACCCCACACTTCCTGAAGTTTATCATGATTAACCCCTCATAGCATAGCAACATGAAGCTGGGTTCCCATTATATTCCTTTCCAAAGCAAGATACTGCCATTAAAACCATTCTAAACCCCATCAAAATGTAATATGGATACAAAATACTTACATGGAGACTGGCAAAGACATCATGTAAAGCTGACATAGCCTGTATGACAGGAGTCTCCTGTGGATATGCAGGAGGAGAGTGTGTTGTCAAAAGGGTGACAAGTTCGACCATTCCACCGAGAGTGACCATACTCTCCCTCAACCACCACAACCCTCCTATGGTCAGGTCTACTAATCCTTCGCCAGCTCCTGCAGCAGTCTTGTCAGCACGTAGCCTGGAAAAAAAATTGTATTTATAGATACTGTATAGTAAGTTTCTTGGGTAAACATCTCTTTTGAAATGTTTCTAAATTCTGATAAAAATATCTTTAGTGAAGGTAAATATGTTCTAATATCTTTTATACTAAAGAGTTAATAACAATTTTCCCCAGATTTGGTTTCTCATATATCATATATTCTAAGCTTTATTTCTCTTTTTATTTACAGCATTACTCTCTAAATAAAGCTCATGACTATTAAACAAACCTGGCACTCGTAAGCTGAGTGAGAGAGTTGAGGAGGGCGCAAGTCATTGCTGCAACGCCGGATATCCCATGCTCAGTTACAAGGGTTGACAAAGCGAGGGAAGTCTCTTGGACAGTGTTCACTACCATTACTCCGTCATTCAAACCCTCTGAACGCATCCTTTCATACACCTATTTATGAAAAAAGAATAAGTATGGCTTAATGAAGTAAATCAAATTATGTCTCTCCATTTTCCCTCAATCAATCATTTGACAACCAAACACATCAACAAAGACATTTGAACATCAAACATACAAACAACAGAGACTTACCTTCTGCAACTGTGACGTAACTTGAAGGGATTTGCTTTGAAGCTGCATGTCTATGTTACAAGCCTGACTTACTGCTGTGGCGTCTGGAGCTTCGCGATGACTCTTGCTGATCACCATCTGTACACTGAAGATGAGATTTAAATTCGTACGACATCTTTCAATTTATTTTTTTTACACCATACTTCTGATTATGTTATATCCAAAAGAAATATGTCAATCTATCTAAAATATGTCCATCCAAACTGCAATCTATTTCTTGATTCCCTTTACTTTATAACTAATATAACATGCAATAAGTTTCCTTGAATGAAAGCACAAGATGATAACAACTGTCAACTCATGGTGGACAATACAAGGGGACATGCAATGGCAACCATGGTTTTGTTTTATATATACATATATTTTTCTGAACATAGACAACTCTTTTAGTGTTTCGTTGCCATGGTATCAATTACTAGGCCCATCCAACCTCACCTGGCTCCCCTATGACCTAATTTCTATTCCTACTATCATTGTTATCATAATAATGGTATTCTCAATAATAGCAATAAACATTGCTAATAAAAAAAAATATATAGTTTTTCAAGAACATCTCAAATGAGTTAAACATACATAGTCAGGGGGGTTAGTAACCTTTAGTGACTAAGTGCCATATGTGTGCAAAAAATAATATAACAAAACAACTGTAGACAATTCATGTTCCTGGCATCATTGGGTTAAAATTGGCTGATATACTATTTGCCAGTACCTTTATCAGACTAAACCCTAATCAGCTGTGTAAAGTAATAACTCCTTACTTGTTCAGTGAAAAGTCTTGCAAGAGTGAAGTAAGCCACACCAGCTGTTCCGACAGCCGATGTCGTGAAAGATGATCAGCTGGGTAATTCACCCAAACTCCTCCGTACTTGATCAGTAAGTCCAGGCTGGCACCTAAAACATTCTGCACCTGGTTCACTACTTTGCTAAGCTCAACTGCGTAGGAAAAACAAAGATGGTTAAATAGTAGATTTAATCACTTCAGCAAATAAAGCATGTATACATAAGCACACCAAAGCACTCACGCACACACATGACATAATAAAAAGATTCATATATTATAATTTCATGTGAACTGCCTAACATTCCTCATCTTTAAAAATATAAAATAACAAGACAATAACAAGACCCCCAAAAAAGCAAAAAAGAAAACAGCTTACCTTCTGTATGTTCACACTGTGTGGCTAGCTGACCTTGTCCAGCCTTTGTCAGAAACTCTGTCACAGGAGCCACACTGGCTAACATCACTCCTGCATTGCTCACTTTGGCTCTCCATTCACCTGCCTGGCCGCCTTCAAACACTCTTGCTGCAGTCTAAGGATTGAAAAAATATATAGCAAATATATATCCTATCCTATTTGTCCATGAAGGAACAAAATATTCAGTTTATTGCATATCATTTCTTAGGTATCATTCAGCACTTAATAATAAATGAAAAAATACAAAGTTACTAACAAATCAATTCTTTATGCTCAATATAAATCACAAAAAGAAGCATATCAGTTTGCTATAAAGTTTCATAACAAAAATATCATCATTTCATACCAAATACAGATTATGCCAGTGTTTCACTTCTATCAGCCTTGTATTCACTAACTCTTTGGCATGGTCCATGGACTTTTTGACTATGGCATATTCCTCATAACGTGGACGGAGACCATAGAGGTTGTGCTGTGGATTAGCTTCTGCTTCCTAAAAAGTACAAAATAAAAATTATGATAAATAAATAAAGTGATATCTTGTAGACAAATATGATGTACGATAATGTTCTCAGAAACAATACATGGTGCTAAGCGAGAGCAAGATCAATTAAACCTTTTAAAAACCAACCAACTTGCTGAGGTACACATCCTAACTAGATCAGAAACCATTTGAGATAAATTTCTTCTGGAGACCCAGTAAGAAGATGAATACAAATCAAAATATCTTATCATATCTCTGATACTAGAACAATTCCTCCCTTTTGTGGTGTGAATGTGACTGTTTAGGGTTTACCTTGAGCATAGCCATGAGGTGGTGGCCGTCCTGCAGGTTAGCCTCGGCGTCTGCTTGAACCTCATGTGCCTTTTGCCACTCCACTAAGCTGATTTCCACACTGGGTATACACTCCAGAACCTCACCTCTTCATGGGACATAAAATACAGAAATTAAAAACACACAACAAAAATGTTTCATTATTATACTAACTATACAAAGGAGAAAGTATATTATGCATGTTTTCTCAACAGCTGGATTATAACACACCAATGTACCTACTTATTACTTAGCCAGTCAGCTTTCATTTCTGCTATTCTCACAGCAAACATACTAAGAGTGAGACCTCGTTCCAGCTGCTGCCGACTTTGTCTCGCTCCTGACACAAGAGCTTGGTCACCACCATACACTGCACCTGATGGTTTCGGAAATAAAAATAACATTATATCCTCTCTGAATACTGACTGACGTATCTAGATTTTACCATGTTAAAAATAAGACAATGTATTTCATTTACTTACCAGCATAGCCTGATTCACTGTCTGGTGTCCAGTCAACCAGTGGATCATAAATAAAGGCTTCTAGCAAGGTCAGAAGAGTTTCACGTCCCCTTCTCATGGTCCTCAGGACCTGTTCACAGGCATTCCTAAACACACCCTGAAGAAAAAACAGGAGAAGATAACATAAGAAAGAAGAAGAAGAAGAAGAAGAAAAAAGTGGTTTCAAATAAATACATATACACTACTTCCTAAATTGCCTAAAGTATGCCCTAAGAACACATCAGCTCTATGCTTCTAGTTTACCTCAGTTCCTGTCACTCCAAGTGCTGCTTCAATATTGTGTGTCATGCGATATGGCACTCTCTCTGGGACACGTAGGTTTTTACCTTTCTCAAAGCACACATTGTAATCAATGTGAACCACCTGTAAATATAATGCATGATTATCTATAAAGGAACTGCTTAAACTTTCATATTATTATTTTGATATGACAACTTATGTCTTAAAAATGTATTGTATTTACTTCCTGTAAAAATATCATATACAAATACATAACCTTAATGAGCATTATTCTTACCTCTCCAGAAGTTAGGTTGACAAGAACATTGTCAAGATGCCTGTCACCAAGGCCAATGATATAGCCTATGATGGACATCACTGCTGTGGAAATTGAGTAAGTCTGTGTCAAGTGCCACCAGTCTCCAGCACTGACACTACACATCCACAATTCCCTGTAAAATAAACTGAACATTAAATCTGGAACAGGGTTTCACATTAAATTCTAAGTCTACTCATTACCTCCTAAATAAAATCTTACCTGTGTACAATCATAAAACTTAGGAACTAAATATACAGATATAATCACCATCTAAAATCTTACTGATTGCTGAACAGATTCTAGAGAGCATTTTAATTGGTATACAACCCTCAGAGTAGGGATGTGTACCAGTCAAATGGCCTGGGGTCAAAAGGGGGTTAAGAAACATCAGGGTTGATTTTTGGTTCAAATAAAAGGTGATATCTGTATAAGAAGTAAAAATACCTAAGATAATACGGCATATTAAATTACAACTTTTAAAGGCATGGCTGACATGTAAAGTTCAATTCTAAGTCATATAACAGAAATTGTAACAATATATATATAATAGGAAGCTATGTTTCTCAAGTCTTTTTAAGGGTTTCTCATGCGCGAGATGTAAGCTATAGACCTCACCTCAGTGACATCTATTATATCTACATATCTACAATTTCTTTTTGCATATATTACGTTATGAGGCCATATAAAGAATGAACTGGAATTGAAGTCAAAATGAGGGGAAAATAGTGGAATAAGGCTTATGTACTTTGAAAAAAACGTCGCTAGTGATTTAATACTATCATCATTCACATAAATACAGACAGTAGGAAGAGAAAAAGAAACTTAGGAAGGAATAACAAAATGCAAAAGTGAAACAAATCTTCCTGAGAAACAGTAATGAAGTAAGCGAGTAATGGCATTTCAGTCTTTAAATAAGGAATCTTATTTTTGATAATATCAATTAATCACTTATTTTACATGCCTGGGTGGCAATGAGAGATCAAGGCCTCCATGAAGGGATCGATAGTCTAAGCACTCTTGGGACACCTGCCCTCGAAGAACTTCCAATAAGAGAAAGACAATACCCGTGACAATCTATAATGAGGCTGAAGTTGAAAAGACGCAGAACTTTTGTAAATACCTGGAAAGCAGATTTGATGGAGTCTCTTTAATCAGGTCCTTCAGAACATCCCTCAGAATGCCTAGGGGCCATTCCTTACGGTTATCCAAGCTGACTCCCGCCTCTCGGAGTTTGGGTGTCAACTTGCTGTAGTACAGTTCTGAAGGCCGCGGAACTTGTGGAGGAGCTGATGAAATGGATGCATGCAAGATGGAATATCATGGAATAACGAAGAAGCAAACAAAAATACACACACACAAAAAAAGAGAAAAAATATTTATACATTTAATCAAAGTGTGATATCAATACTCAGCTTATACAAATATATAATCATATACACAAACCAAGAATAAATCTACATAGATGGCAGTGCTTTTCTGATACAAGGCCAAAATAATAATGAAATCTACAAGAAACAAATGCACATGGATGCAAACCTTGTGGATGGATAGATGCAGCAGATGAATGATTTTTGAGCAACAAAGCATGCGCATTGTGCCAAGCGCTTGTAGAGACCGAAGAGTGGTGTTGCACTTCCAACCCACTGAATAAGGCCTGAACGTGGTCCAAGTGGCACTACAGAATAGTACCTGGCTCGATACACACAGTCTTTACCCCTAGAAAGTGTTCATCAAAAAGACCATCAATTTCATATCTTTTAAAAATAACACAACTGACTTCTTAAAAACATTTGTAATTGTTATACACTTCCAGTCTAAATCACTTTTACATCTAATGACCTTCAAGAGTATACTCCTTACATCAGAGCAGAGATTTAACAATCAAATCAAGTGATGACTCTACATCTTTTTCTAATGATTGTCTTCAAACAATCTGATTACCTCTGGTTCTTCTCCAACATTGTATTAACAATTTCTAAGAATTGCATGATCCTCTCATCCAAGTGGAGATCTTCCAGTCCTTTGAACAGGTATGTATATCTGAAAGAACTGGAATTATCCAATAAATACTTTTCCTGGAATATGTACATAGAAGATGACCTATAAAGTACACAAGGAAATCATAGCACTCCAATCATAGACAGGAAGGAATTCACAAGGTTTTACTATGAGACTGAACTAACCTACCTAAGAAAAAGTGCAAAAGCTTTAGAGTAATCTTAGCAATCTAACAGGATTCTTTGCAGCAAGAGTAGCACTAGGAAAATATATATGACACATCACACCACATTCAACACACTAAAATGGCTAAAAGTGCAACAGAAATACAACTATGACACATGCATTCTAATCCATAAAATTATACAGGGAATTTACCCACATTGGCTATTACTTATACGGACAACAGGTAACACAACGGTGTCCAAACAAGGGCAAACAACTGCCTATTATCAAGAGATCAATACAGAAAGGCAAGAAATATGCTAATCCGAGGACTGGTGACTTGGAACCAATTACCCGAAAATGTAAGAAATATTCAACAAAAGACATTTAAAACAAAAGTGAAAGAACATCTACTGAAATATCAATGACATCAGGCGCATAAACATCAAGCCCAGCACGATATTTCAATCACATATGGTATTATTGTTATGTGTAATTTTGTTCCACAAGCATGTATAATATCTATGTTCATAGCACCTATTGCATTGTGTAAACACCTTATATGTAAAGAGATACCCATTGTAATTAATGGAATAAAGTATTTGAATATACATTCTTTCATCCTCTTATACCAGGGTTCTTGCAGGGGATAAGCAGATGAAATTATAGACCTTTTTAAGACTGTTCAAGACCTGGAGCCACTTGTCACTGAATACACACTTCCTCACAATGTGTAGGCCTACTTGTTGCTTCAGAGACAAGACAAAAAAAAAAAAAAAAAAAAAAAAAAAAAAAAAAAAAAAAAATCATCCTGACATGATTTTTACATAACCTCTTGGATAGATTGTATGCTTTTTTTTTTTTTTTTTTTAATTATTTTCATTATTATTTTCTTCTTTGTTTCACAGGGCCCATAACTAAATTGTCGCATCAATCAGCAAAGGTCACGATTTAATGTCCCTGACAAATTCAAGCTCTTCAATCAAGCCGTGTATGATCTTTAAGTGAGTGAATCACAATGGTGTATGCCAATAACAGATATATGTACATTTATATGAACAAAGCTGTGCCTTGGGCAAATTTAAGACATTTTAAGACCTGTCAAATAAAAGCCTTATTTTTAAGATTTTTAAGGCTTAAAATTTCCAAATAATCATTTAAGACTTTTTAAGGCTTAAAATTTCCAAATAATCATTTAAGACATTTTAAGACTTTTCAAGGATGACAGAAACCCTGTATACAGTCCTGACATCTCTAAAAGAAGATTGTCAATGTTTACAAATATATATTTTCAAAACTGAGATGACTTACTTCTTGCCGTCTGATCCTTGGAAGCTCAGTTTCTTTGGCTTAGTCTTTGTGGGGAGAATAGATATATTTCCGTCCACTGATGCTATGGTGATAACCTGTAATTATTGATGATATTAATAATAACTGTATTGATAATAATTACATTAATAATGATAATGATGATGAAAAAAAAAAAAATCATAATAATGATGACACAGTATGTTGCTAATATCATCATCCTTATGAAAATCCTAAAAATGTGAGCAACACCATCATACAAAGCAAGAGCCACAATAATATCAACCATAAATTAATCAACATGGGGGGGGAAAAAAAGTCTACCCATGTTTGTCCCTTACCTGCTGTGACGCCGACACAACACCTGGCATGGCAATTTTTGTTGCAGTCAGTGCCGCAAGTTTGGGGGATACGTCCACCATCTTGAGAGTTGAAGATGCTCTCCGATGAGCTCTCTGTTGCAGCATCTATGCAATAGGAGATAAGAAGATCTAAATCTGTTGGTAATTCTAAAATGATTTTATGAGCGCTGTAATAAACTTGTTGAGAGAGTACATACATATACTTCAATTTCTAGGTCTGATTAAAGTAGTTTGCCCTTTTTCCTGATTTTTTAAAAGATTTTCTTTCTATTGCTATTAGTTTTGTTAACCATAATGTCATGATAATAAAAATCAAATAATAATAGTAATAATAACAATAATAATAATGATGATGATGATGATGATGATAATAATAAAAATAATAATAATAATAAAAATAACAATAACAATACTAATAATATTTACAACAGTATCAATGAAAACAGTATTAGCAAAAACGTGAACGATTTAAAAAAAACTAACCCAATACCACCAGAAAAAGATTGTGTTCCCTTTAGTGTTGTTAATTTAAATGTCTCTGCACATAAATGGCTCTGCCTGTGCTTAGCTACAAAGGAGTCAATTAGTATATCTTGTGACACCTTTCTTTGAGTTGGCAGGAAAAACACTTTTTTTCTACTAATGCTATCAATATTGATACTGTTATTTTTATTATCCACATTGTAATTACTATATTGTTATTGGCATTACTAACTGCAGTATCAAATACTAAAAAGCATTATTGAAAATCAAGGAAAAGGTTAAATGGATGAGACAGGTAGTTCTCGTAATTGGTTCATTGCTGACCTAGTACTTGTGGAACCATCTATATGTAATTACAATTACTAAATTAAACACTCAGTGGGCATGGCATGTACGTACATGCCATCCCCGTAGGCATGTGGTTAAAGGAGTGGAGCAAACAGTTGAGGTCAGGTATTCCTGCTTGTGCAAACATCTACTTGTAAACATAATTCACAAAACAAAACTACAGGGGTTAGAGTGTTGATGCAATGGGTTAAAAGATTTCCATTCTCAACATTCTCAACACAGTACTCAAAGTTTACACAATACTTAATTCAACAAAATAACATGAGATTCTCTTTATAAAACTATAAGGAATTAAAAATAAAATGTAGTTATTAAGCTACCTCAAAAGCATAGAAACACACACCTGATGGAGTTGCCTTAGACCAGACAGAGCAGCCTGAGGCTCAAAATAGCTCTCAGGTTCCCTTAAACTACACAGAGCTGAGGATATCAAGGAACCGTATGTCTCGTGGAAGTGTCGTTCATGAGGTGTCTCTGGAGTAGCTGATGTGATGTCTGCCAACTGATCTAGCACAAACAGAAGCTGGAAAAAAAGAGTTTTAAATAATAGCTTAATTACAGAAGTAGCATCCATAGAGTTGGCTAAAAAGATCGTTTCTATATCTATAACAATGAATGACATATGAGAGTACTATAGTTTCAAATTCTTAGATCAATTTTCACTTCCCACTTTGAAGCCTAAAGAGGCTAACTACTAAAAGCCCTAAAATCAAAGTGAAGTTATCTTAGAGACACTTCAGAATGTCAAAGTGTCTGGAGAAGCAAAATCACTGGCACTGATCAAAACTAGTATATCAGCATATGCACTCCAAACAGTTTTGAAAAAGCAGTTCCATATTGTATCACAAAAACAGAGCAGATTATGCTCATTCAAAAACATACTGGCTTGAAGATGATGTCATATTTCTTTTTAATAAGCTGAGTTTTCTCTGTCTGTGTCAGAGATGAATTGTTATTCAATCTTGCAATTTCTGCTGTCAATTGATGGCACTTTCTGGACATGTCACTGTGATGCTGAGCCAAGGTTCCTAGCCATAATTCATCCCACAGGACAGTAATACGACGAAGTTCATGAACAAGCATCTGGACTTCACTAATGCTGGATCCCACCTGTAGAATAGATCCCATTATGATACATACATGAACAAAATGTAAGCACACACAACAGATGAAGGGAGCAGTTCATTTGATAGTCACATGAATGGAAGAAGAATAAACTTTTAAACATTATAAAGGTAAAATACAAACAAATCAATTATGCAAACTATAAATCTGGTACATAAATTCTGCACTATGGAAAATTTGACTATTAATAAAAGCTCCGACATAAATCATCTCTCTTTATATTCAGTCATAGAAGTTTTATATTCCAATGAATTAATATAAGTAAACCACAAAACAAGCTGTGTGGCATTATTCATGAATCATAAAGTTTACATCCTTTGTGTGGATGTAAAGACAATTTTAATGGTCAAAAGATAATACTTCATTAAAAATTATTTCCTTAAGTCTTTGTGTACCTGTTTAGTCAGGGTATCTACTAGAGATGAGAAGCAATTTCTCATAACTGTTCTTCTCTCCTGTTCTTCAGTAGATTCAGAGATCAGTTCCTCTTCTTCCTCCTCCTCTTCTTCTTCATCAACCTGGTCATACTCCTCCTCCTCCTCCTCTTCATCTTCATCTTCCTCACCAAGTGTCTGTTTCATTTTTCTTCTGTGCCTTCCTTTGTGCAGGTACTTTGCCAACATATCTATCAAAATCCATAATGTATTGAATTTCTTGCACACTCAAATGTATATAAGCAGCTGTTCCGGTTAGAAATTAGTAAAGTGTAATTGTATAATTACATTTCTAGATACAAGTGTGAAAGAAATATTTCTCTCACCTGTCAGTGATGCTTGATTGGCTGCTACATTTCCACCAGCTGAGCCAACCACAGCTGGAAACACAATCAAATGTGGGAAGTCCTCTGCCAGACGACACAGAAGTTCAGAGATGCTGCTCCTTACATAGTGCTCGGGGTGATTCAGACGTGCAAACAACTGTAAATTCAAATATAATGTCACTATAAATAAAAAGTAAATACAAATAAATAAATAAAACAAATGTATAGGATTGCTATAAACATATTTTTAAAACAACAAATATTTAAAGAAATAAGAAAGCATCAACAATAAGATTACCTGAGGAATGATTGTCTTCCAGGGACGTGTAGGCGTTTCAGCCAGACCCTTTTCTAATACTTCTCTTAACTCAGAAGCATGCTTTACCATCAGTCGAAGCAGTCTCAATGTAGCTACTGTGCACTGGTCAGCATGGCTTGCAGCATACTAACACAGCAGGGTGAAAAAAAAAATTCATCATATTCTTCTGTTATTCCTCAAGAGACAAATTACATTCAATATCAACATGCTCTTAAATACTTAAACAAAGTTACTTTCTCACCCCTTGGCTGATTTTCAGGAACCTGAAGTATGCTTTTGCTGCAGCTGTGAGAACAGTATAATGTCTTTCTTGGGCTGCTTGATGAACCTCAGCCAGAGCTACACTTAGGTCTGCTACTGTATTCCCAGTCAATCCCCAAGATTGCAGGGTTGATGTAATTTGCGTCCCAACCTACAGAAAAAGTATTTTTGATAGATTTTATAATCATATTTCCTCTACTATAAATCTTCAAGATAAAAATGAATAATTCATAATACTAATAAGAACAATAAAAATAATTCAATCCTTTTATCTATTAGGTATAATTTCTGCAACTCTCTTTATAATGACTGATCTATATGTAAGCAACAAATATCACAATACACAAAAGAGTAAAACATGGTTCTTACTTGCTGTGTCCCCTGAACTTCCTCCAAGCGAAGATCCTCTTCATCCTCTTCTGTGGCATCTTGTCCTGGCCTCCAACCTCCTATGAGGGAACAAATCTCTTCTATCCTTTCCTCTGCACTTGAAGCATCATGACTAATTGCAGGAGATACAATTTCCTTTATACGAGCCCGATCTTCCTCAGACAGCTGGCCTCCATTGCTGTTACTGTGCTCGAGTATTCTCCTACCCCACCTAAGGTAGTGGAAGAAAATTGTTGTATTGAAATGAGAGGATGCTATCAGAGTCCTAGAAAATGATATTCAGTAAAAATAATGATAATAAGACATTCTCTATATCTTCCTACAAAAATGACTATACTACTTAACAATTCAATAAAATTACCTGAAGCACCATGAAGCAATATGAAACCAGACTTTTGGGAGAGTTGGACACTGTGTTGCAGCAAGGGTAAGAATATGACCCATATTGCTTTCGAGCTGAGGAAGAGTTGGATGGCTGACTTCTGCAAGAGGCAGCAACTCCTCTGGTGCAAAATCCTTCATTTCCTGGTAAACTGAAATTCACATATACATTTGTTCATTCTTCTTATTGTATCACAATTTCATGTATCAAAAATAATCTAATTTTCATTAATGTTATTTTCATTAAATTGTCAATAAACACACAAGATAAAACTGAGAACCAAAGTACCTGCAAGGAGCTTATTCATCCATTCTGGAACATCGGTCATTGAATCTCCAGAAAGCATCAGCAATCGCCTATCATCCTGTGCCCACCACTTGTTGAGTGTTATGATGGAACGAGCACACAAGTGGCCAGCCTCATTCGGGGGTAGTGTGAGCAGATTGGTGTCTGTTGCTGCTAAGGCTGCTAAGCTGGGATTTAGACCAACTACGGATCCAGCAAGGACTGAACAGCCATGAGAGATGTATCCCTTGCTGTATGGATTTATAAGTGAAATTAGTAAGTGAATGCCTACAAGATTCAGTTTCTTCGCTCATCAACATTTACATTCATAATTAGAGGGATTCTGAACGACAAGAACATTTCAAGAGAATTAGGTTTCAAGTACAAACCATGCCAGGAGCTTAGATGCCTCCCTGTGTAGCTTGGCCTGAAGAGGGTTGTACTCGGCACCAGGCACAATTTCCAGCACTGATTCTGCCAAGTTGGAGCTTACTCCTAATAACCCTATCAATGTATTTTCTGCAAAGTCCATGTTTTCTTGTTTACGTGCTTGCTTGGCTGACAGGAGGTCTAATTTAGTGATTGAGGCTGAAATAAGAAAAATAATCATGTTGGTCAATTCATAAAACACTTACAATAAACATCAATAAAATATAAACAGTAAAATACAGGAGGAGGTATAAGAAATCAAGGGAGATATAGAAGAAAAAGGAAAATGTTTGGAGATGAGTATGAGGAAGTGAAGGAAAAAAAGGAAAGATGAAGTGGAATAAAGAGGAAAGTGGAAAAAAAAAAAACAAAAAAAACTAATAGGTCATACAAACATGGGAGGAAGTTCAGGTAAATTATCAAGATAATAACAATCAAAATATCATTGATAAGATAATATGGAACTTCACTATTTTGAATTACATAAGGGTTATTATGCCTGCATAATAAAAATGCATTAAAAGATATACATATTTCTAGCAATAAACTAATATAAAAAGCAACGCACTTGGAGTAACAGCAGGATTAATTCGACCAATGAGTTTGGCCCATCTTGACACATGAGGAATAAGGTCTGCAGGAAGGCTCATGAGATTTGTGTTCTCCCAGCCCTCATGCAGACGTCCAGCTCCCATGGAATCATTGAGAATACTCCTCAGCTGAAAAAAAAAAATATATATATATATTGACCTCCCAAATAATTCCCCTTTAATTTAAGGAGGATGAGGATAATCTCAATATGATGATCCCCCCAAAAAACATCCACACAATCTTGAGCATGACCTTGAACATATGCTCCCAACCAAATATACAAATACTCTTGAATGGAATAATAGCAATCACCAGAAAAGATTCTCACATACCTCATGGAGGACTTGGTGAAGTAGAAGTGAATGAAGATGCATGGCGGAGTAGGAGGACATTGTGGATAACTGCAACATCCACTCCACCTGCTCTTGACATTCTGCCACAATTTTACTTAATGATTCTCTGAAAGAAGCACGATAACAATTATAAATACATGGATGGACATTTCTATTAATCATGAATCTACATTATTCCTCCCATTATAGAAGTTTCTCCTTTTCTCATAAATCTAAACTACACTTAACAAGTACAGCACAAAAAAATGGCCCATCTCACCTTGAAGTTGAAGGCTGGGGATAAACCGTAGAGGTAAAAGAGTGTAGAAGAACAGTGTTTATATCCTGGAACCTCTTCCAAGTAATCCAATCTTGGGGTTTTGTCCAGTCCACCTGGGTCACTGCACCACCAAGGCTTGTCATCACTCCCACAGGATCAGCCGAGTCAAAATGTGCCAATGCCCTGGAATGGATCGTATATGCTTATCTACAAAGAGTAACTTGATCATAAGACCTGAAAAACAACTTGAACAATGCACTTCCAATACAGATTCTTTTGATAATTACAAATACTAAGTGTGATGGCACTGATATGACATACCAAATAACGTCTGAGAGGAAACATAGAAGAACCATATATTTAATAAATTCACTACCTAATTATGGTCTTAACAATCTCAAGATATCTTGTACCTACTTCAACTCATGCATCACCAATTTGTATTTGCATGAGCATGGTAAGAAATGATTCACTTACTGCACATGAGACAGATCTTTGTATGTGTTCAGAAGCCCAGAGGTAACAGTTATAGGCTCAGACTCTTCCTGTTTCATTTGTATTTGCATTGTCCACTTCTGGAGCTCTCCCCACTGACTCAGCCTGCTGTAACACTCTGCAATCTGTTAGGAAATAATATAAGAGGAAGAAAACTAGCTGTAAGTCTATAGCTATACTGAAACAAAATTCAGATTAAGAATACTTTCACATTAACACTTTCACACTGTGTTAGAAAATTATCCTTCTGGTAAGTGTTTTCCCAAGATCTGTATATTTCTCCAGTTAAAAAGAGCAAAAAGAACACATGAATTGTATTGACATATCAAAAACCAATTAACTGAAGGAAGCCACACAAGCACAAATAAAGAGAACACACCTAATTATTCATTCAATCTTTTTCATCACACACTACTGATGGCTATGTGGGTGCTGGCTCACAATATGTCTTTTTTTAATCTAAAACCTAAAGTGAATGGGATTGACAAAGGACAGGTATTTCTTTACTTCTTGGTGACTATGACGGATATAGCCATCATGACATAACAGCCTATAATGTGTAAACGCACCACGACCTGCATTTACTTATTTTTTAACATACCTGAGCATGAATGAATTCCTGTATCAAAGGATCTTGCTGTTTCATGTCTGAATGGTTGGCAATTATGACGTGCTGGGTTGATGTCTCCTCTTCTTCATTTTTAAGTTTATCAATTTCATCTGCTTCGTCTCCTCCCCCCTCAAGGAAGTGCATGAAGCCCCTTAAGGCTTTCTCATACCTATGGAAATAAGTACTATTACTTATGCCCCTCTAAATGTACTGTGCATATCAAAACATTTGGATGCATTTTGACTCATTGTGTAAAATCTAATCAGTGGTGTCATTTCTTGTAAGCAAAAGTTATTTTCATAGCAATGGATGATCTATATAAATATGAAAACCTAATGAGATGCTAATAATAAGATGTTAGAAGAATCTCTTTTCATAATCATTTTCTACATAAAATTCATGAATATACCATAATATCTACATCTATAAAAGTATATACACTAAATTTAAAAAATCATAAAAAACAAAAACAAAATAAGCAAGACACCTGTATACATGCTGACAAATGTAGAAAAGGTATGAATGAGAATGAATATCTTCACAATACAAGAGATTTATGTTACCACTTTTGAATACATGCATTTATTTCTGATGGAGATATATTCGAAATTGGTCAAATACATCTCTTGTATTGTGAAGATATTCATTCTCATACATACCTTTTCTATTTGATACCTGTATATAATACTGTCACTTCATACAACCTATTCATGTAAGTAACAAAAAACAATAATATGATCATGTTATCTTACTTATTGCCAGCACTGTAAACTGCAGGCTTAAGCCACGCAAAACGTCTTCCAATGTGGTCACGGCACCACTGGTATAAACCTGAAACTCCTTCGTCACAACCTTCTGCTACTAAGGCCCGTGCACAGTAGCAAACAGCTCGTTCAAAGTCAGTACTCTGAAAATTTCATTGAAGATATTTGATGAAACTTGTTACACAGAACTACAAAAAATCTTGAAATTTCATCCAAATTTACAAATAATTAAAAATAATGCATTTCAAGCATACTCACAATACAAAATTAAAAAAAAACATTCAATTCATAACAGCAAAAGAGTAAACTAAAAATGAACTATTTACTTGTGTGTTGTTATTATCTTTTAGTTCCTGCAGGAGTTTGTACGAATGCCGAACAGCCACTTCTGGACGTCCACAATTGAGTGCAACAACGATGACTGCAGCTCTTATACGACTCAGCCATTCAGTGCAGGTCTGACGATTTGTCCTAAAGAAGGCTCTGACACTCTGTAGAGGATTAGAAAGTGTTGAAATGCATGTTGCAGATGAAGTGTGCATTTCTACTTTTTCATCCTGTCTGTTAAGTGCACGTCTGACCAAATCATAAAATACTGATAAGCACCTCTACCCATTTCTTGTGAATCAGAATGCACTGGTATACCATTCCATGCATGACATCGATAGTAAGACTATCACTACCTAATATCATCTACAGTGGTTCTTGAAGATAAGTTTTTGATCCAGTTCACACACAGTATATCTGTATATATGTTCACAACTGGAGAACACCATAACATAAAATATACCATGACCTTGAGGACCCTACCTTATTTGGTGGTGGTACAGCAACAGCACATCCATCACTAGCATTGAACATAGCTTTCTCCAGACTCTCCAAGAACTCTACTAGCAGCATCACGGCTAGGGAGTGAACCTTCACATCATTTCCACCCTTTTCATTACCATTCACACTTTTGCCAGTTTTCTCATCGTCCGTCTTGCTTACTCCTTGACTTTTTTCCGCTGTCTGGCCACACTCTCGGACTTCCTTTGCACGACCTTTAATGGCACCTTCAAAAGCAAACAACACTCATTAAGAATAGGAGAAAGGAAAATTTCTTGCAATCTGCTTGCAAAATGCATGTCAGTTGTAGAGCAAGAACTTTTCCATTAACTTATCACAGGCAAAAGTAAAAGACCAATATTACCTTCAATACTAGTAAATGTGTCCTGTGGCTTTCCTAATGTAGTTCGCAGTTTGCTTGCAATGCAGTGTTGAGCAGGTTCCCAGGCCAACCACTTCCACAACAAGGTGCGAAGATGGGAAGCTAGCACAGGAAGACTCAGGTCCTCTGCCTTTGCCATCCTTTCAACTCTCTGGCTAACAGCAAAGAGGTCTTCCTGCCAATACTCACCTCTGTCAAAATGAATATGCTGATTGTTTTCAATTCTAAATTTGTAAGGGGGTGGGGGGAACTAAGGAATGTAAATACACTCGACCTTTCATAAAAATTCTACCATGATCTTACTGAAAAATGACACACATACACACAAACATTTCACACCATGATTCATGACAAAAACAGTAAATAGGATGACCTCGTTTATGCTGCCGAGTCTAATGATACAAAATATAATGCTTTAAGATAACCAGGGAATCCCCATAACAATCTAATTGTAAAACATCCCCTAAAACTTACTTTGGTTGTGAAACGTGGAGTATAAATGCCATTAGCGTGTGAAAGGCATTTGACGGTAGCTGGCCTGCTGTAGAACGTAAGACAAAATGCCTCTCGAGACTTTTGACTGATGAAGAATCAAGACTGCCAATCTCAACATTGGATGATGAATCAGTCTGCAATACATAGATATTTAAAATATCATGATGGGAAAAAAAGGAAGAAAAGGGAAAAATGGTGAAGCATGTTACTATTGTCTTTTGTTGTACCTTTATATAAAGCATGTTATTATCCTCTTTTGCTGTTCCGTTATATAAGTATCAAACATTTTTAAAAATCAAGGCAGAGAAAAAGTTCTGAAACATACCTTGTTTGCACTAAATTCATTTTCTTCATTTGTGTTAAAACAACACATGGCATGCGAGACAGAACTGAGAGGAAGTCTAGCCAGGAGGTCTAGATAAGCACTGCGAATTTTAGGCTCATTGTGGCTCATATGATGGAGGCATAACTTTACAACTTCTTCCAAATTATCCATCTGAAAGAAAAACAGACAAGATATGATTATTGGAAAACAATGAAACATCCCCTTCAGAATCCTTTATTTTGAATGAATGCCAAAAACATTACATGCTGATTCATTTTCAATAAAAAGGCAAAAGAAAAAAATATATTGATTCACTTTCATTAAATATTAATTCATTTTCATTTTAAAAAAGTCAAAAATACATAACACAATCTTTCAATCTCTTTTTTGGAAGACACAACAATATCATATTTTCCATACCTGAGTGGGCGGCAATACAGCAAACACAGAGGTTAAGCTGGCAGCAACAGCAGATGTAACTGAATTGAGGTGGTGGTACCCCGTTTGTACAATGGTGTCTATCATCTGGGTAAACACTTTGATCTTCAGCAGCTGAGGTAAGGAAGTTTCACTACTGCTGACAAGATCTGCTGCCCATTCCAGACACAGCTGGATGATGTTAGCCCCAGTAACTTGTCTCTGTAAGTAGTTGAAAATGGTTTTATTGGGCAAAAAGACCTGCTCATGATATAGGGTTTGATCCTCCATAAAAAACAACCATGACAGTTATTGGCCTACATCTAACAATTTGCCTATCTCTATACCTTTTCTACATTGATCAAAATTCTTAAATAAGAACAATTTAAATCAACATTCAATTGTAACATTTTCTCATAATCATAATAAAACAAATAATAATTCACACAACATTTACAACAAATGGCCATAAAATTTGTTTCATCAGTTAACACAAACACTATCTCTCTCCCCCCACAAAAAGAAAAAAAACTCACCTGTCGCAACACAGCTGTCAAAGTAGTAAGTATTGTAGTAAGATTCTCACTGGTGGATGATCCAGAGGAGAAACTTCCTGGTGACCCTCCAGAAAACGTTGTGGAGACCGAGGGTGGAACAAATGGAGATGTTGCCCCCACGATCAGGGTGCTGGAGCTTATGTAGTGGGAATGCTTGGAGCAGTGTGAGTACAGCAGGAACAAGATGGCATGCTGAACCTGTTTATAGGAAAAAAAATTAAGGAAAACATAGCAATAGTAAATAAAAAACAAACAAACACAAAGGAGGCTACTCTCTACAGTTCATAAATTACTAACAGCATTTCAAATCATTACCTAGGTAGTACTGAATCATTTCTGATTTGATAGACAAAGGCCTGTGCAGTCACAACCTCTTTCTTGATCACCTGTACCACTACAAATATAGTTTTATCCTTTTCATACTACTAATAAAGCATTTTCTCCTTCAATTGTAACTATATACAACTATCAAACAAATCTCTACCTCAGGGTAGTGCAGAGCCAGGTGAGCGCTGGATGGAGTGAGGTGTGTTGCCAGAAGATCGACAATTGGGGGATTGAGTGCCCACATAGTGATGATGGAGTTCCTCGTATTTGCCACCTGTGAATATCAGGGGATGGTGATGAAGTACCGTATCTTGATGCATTATATACACAAACAGTATATCACATTAGAAGTTCTTGCATAAATTTGTAGAAAAAGGAAAACAGTATATCATATCAGAAGCTCTTGCATAAATTTGTGAAAAAAAGGAAAACTGCATTCAGTCATAAAAAGTGGTGCATACCTCAGCTAATACTGTCATGAGATACATCATAAGGACAGTTGCTTCTCTCTCATTATATGAAACTCCCTCTAAAACACTTGTTGCTGCAAAGCTGACTGCTTCTGGTACTAAAACACGATGAGCAATCTGTAAATCAGTAAAAAAAAACAACATAAGATATGTGTGAAAGCAGACCTAATATAATTTTGTGTCATCAAAGAAAGTAAACTGCTATACAAATATCAGATATAACCTACATTATCTGTCACACTGCACTCCTTACCTGTAAATCTGCAAGTATGTAGTTATAAGCTTCCTGCAGTAAAGGAACATTCTTCAGGCTGAGTGCAGCATGGTACACTCCAAGAGTAGCCTGCCATACTTGCCGATGCGGGGAAAGGCGTAAGCTACGCAGGGGGGAGCTTGTGCCAAAGATCTTCTGTATAAACTCTACAGATAAACTGCTACCAATCTGCTTCAGCATCTGCACATAAAATAAACAACATACAGAACACATATTTCCCTTTCAAATATGAATAAAATACTATTTTCACAGATGCTGTTTACATCATGAACACACGTTGTATAAGTCATATGATTATCAAACAATTTCTTGATGATTTCCATGGGGGGGAAAAAAAAAAAAAAAAAAAAAAAAAAAAATTACATATGGATAACTCACCCGAGTAAGCAGCGTCAGATAAGACATAACGGTGGCAAAGCCCAAGTGCTCAACAAGTTTCTGCTGAAGATCTACAACATCACAGAAATGTTCCTGTAGCCCAGACATATTTGGACTATATGGAATCAACACTAAACAAACCTGCAAGCAAAGATATCATGTAATTAAATGAACAATGAACATTAACATCATTCACAGTCATCTTCATTACAAATATTAAGAAGTATTTGATGATTACACTAAAAAATAAAATGTCATATAGAATAGTAAAAGTGTTCATTTACAAAATCAGATATATATGCATGTGTAAATATACATATATCTTTTTAATTCTTTAAGCAAAACAAATAGATTTTGTACCTGATTCAAAGCATCTAAAAGTGCTTCTTCCCAATGATGTTTCAAAATATTTCCTGCTCCTGTCACCATCTTCCCCAGTGCATCAACTAGGAAATTTGGTGAGAGACTTGGGTTTACAGCTGGGTCAGCCTGAGGCCCAAGACACCTTAGAACTGTTGTAAAAACACTGCAAAAGAATTGAAGACAAAATCTTACCAACGCATCCCTATGTACTGTGTATCATTAACAGCCAAATGCCATACATATAAAATCCACTCTGCCAATCATGCAATTTCCTGTACTTTAAGGCAATGGAATAAGAGTGTGGATATAAAGTAAATATCTAAATTACCTAATAAATGCAGCGACTTTCTTGGCACAGATTACTGGGTCTGATGCCACTTCATCTTCAGGTGTAGAGCGACCAGATATTCCTCTTTCTAAGTCCTGAAAAAAAATTAAAATCATACAGAAGAATCATTAAAAAATACAACACTGCTATACTCACATGCACAAAGCACATAATTGTAGTACCATTTTCTTCTAATTTTCATCACCTAAATGTACACTCCTCTTTTGCCTCCACTGTCTTTAAATTCTGTTGATCTTCAAGCTATACTGATTCCCCCTTGCAGACTTTCATTTCTAGTTTGGTTACAAAATATTATAAAACACTATCACATATTTCAATAACAAAGAAGACACAGATGCACATCCACACTTTCATTTAAAACAATAAGCTAAATAAAAAACAACTACAAGCAGAACT